CCTCAGAAGAATGCCATGGCATCATAGCTCACAGCAACCTCAAACTGTTGGGCTGAAGTGATTCTCTTGCTTCAGCCTCTGGAGTAGCTGGGATTACAAGCGCCTGCCACAACACCTGGCTATTTTTAGAGATGGGGTCTTTCTCTTGCTCAGGCTGGTCTCGAACCCATGAGCTTAGGCAATCCACCTGCCTCAGCCTCCCAGAGTACTCAGATTACTAGCTGGAATTGCAGGAGCCACTGCACCCAGCCTCATGCTACATTATTCTTAAGGCACAAGATGCTTCTGCAGAACAGGGCTAAGTAGCAGCATCTGCCTAGAGTGCCAATGAGTGAAGCACAGAGCAGATGCTTGGGGAAGCCTGGAGGGCCTCGTGTCTGTGGCCTGTGTTTCTAGGGGCCAGTTGCATCAGGTTGTGCTGTTTTATTATCTGGCTGAGGGTGAAAGAGGAAAGGCCATGGGCAGCACAGTACCTTGGCGGGAGTGTGACATGAGTTTTGTTCGAGGGCTCTGTGGGCTGGCACACCCAGAGGATGGCAGGTATGGGGGTTGGTGAGATCCAGCACCATAGCTGCTGGGCTTTGGTGTCACCTGATCATCAGCTCTACAGAGGCCCATGTTGGCTCCTCTGAGACAAGTAGCTTTGGGAGCACAGGACAATGTCCCCTTGGTCCAGGCACCAGAGCTCTCACAGAGAACCCAAGGACAAAGTCAACAGTGCTTAGCACAGAGCACAGATTAAGTGGGGCTCTTGGGGCAGGCTGCCACCTGGGTGCAATCCTAAGCCTGCCATGTGTGAGCTGCATGACCTTGAGGAACGTACTTGACTTCTCTGTGCCTCACTTTCCTCAGCTAAAATGGAGATGTTAATACCTGCCATAAGGTTGACTAGAAGTTAAATGAGTTAACACAGAAGAACAGTATTTGATACATGTTATTCTTAAGTGACTCTGAGGGCAATGGAGATGGGGAGGGGAGGCAGGAATGGGGGGATGCTGGGGCAGGTGGTATGAAGCTGGGAGATCGGCTTCTGAGCCCAGCTTCTAGCCCCTGGGGGCTCCTAAAGCCCTATAGAGGAGGATGCAGGTTGTCCAGCTGGAAGCTAGAGCCAGCAAAAACTGGGCTCCTACAGCTGTCTGAGCCTTTGGTACCCTCAGATTTGCAAGGCACCTCTGAGGAGGCCATCATGTCCCATAGCTGCTGATCTTAGCATGGGAGATGACAGATGCCAAGTAAGACTGCACCTGGGGCCTGGGGCCAGGTCTATGGGCCCAGGGCAAGGGGGAGACGGGCAACAGGGAGATGGACTGAGAAGGGGCTTAGGAGGCTCTGAACACTGTCATGGGAGAAAAGACTGAAGGAACTGGAGTCAAAGAGACTCTGGGAACACCCGGAACCACAGGCTGTGCAGAGGGCAGAACTGAAGCAGTGTCTGGGAAGAGGCAGTTTCCAGACTGACCAGGGCAGAGCCGACCACCACCAATCCACAGTACAGGGACTTGGGGGAGGTAGTGAGCTTCACACTGTGGGACTATTCATACTGATTCCTAAGACCCACCCCAGGAGAGTCTGATTCAGCAGGTTTGGGATGGCTGAGGAATGTGGGGTTCAACAAGTTCCCAAAGTGACTGAGTTGGGACTCACGTTGTACAGAGTCTGTCCATCTGGAGCTTAGATGTGATCTGGGATCCCTCTAGCTCTGACAATCTGTCCTTCTTTCATCCCCTAAGGTCCCAGGCTTATGTCCTGACAGCTTCTATTCCTGCCAGAGCCCTTTGACTACAAACTCTTCCTTCCTTCTGAGTCTTTCCTTATTCAAGGGCCAACCCAGAGACGCTGCTCAGGACTCAGCCTTGCAGAGGGCGTTGCTGGGAGCCTTTGTTTCTTTATGGTATTAGATCACAGCTTCTGATTAGGAGCCTAACGGGTGTTTGTGTGGGTGAGAGTACGTGCATGCATGCATGAAGAAAGAAAAACAAGATCTAGCCCTCTAGCTTTCATCTTCTGTGTGAGAAGGACTCGGCCAGTGCTCATGCCAGGGATGGGAAATGAAGCTGGGACCCGAGGAACCAGAACTAGGGCCGGGCCCCAGGGAACTGTAACCCCAGCAGGATACGCTATTCTTTGCTTCACAGAATGGGAATTCAGACAGTATCGGGAATTCAGACAGTATTGGGAATTCAGACAGTATCGGGACTTCCAGCTGAGTCCTCCCAGCCAGGCCTGCCTCCCTGACTGCCTGGCTTCTGACACTCCCAGGCACAGGAGGCTCTAGCCCCTCCCCTGGTGGTGGCCACCTGAGAAGCCCAACGTGGGTTCTGTGCTGGGTGCAATAGGCAGAGAAGCTCTTTACTGATCATGCCTGGTTGGCTTCTAGAGAACTCAGGGAGACCTAGGGCCTAGCAGTAGGGCAGAGAGTAAAATAACGTTGAATTTGATGTGGCCTTCAGCTGGGGGTGGGGGGGTCCTTTGGGCTAAAGAAGTTGCTCAAGGGCTGGGCTGAACAGGCAGAGTCTAGGGCAGCAACTTACGCTTATCCTGGGTAACACAGGAGAAGCCAAGTTAACAGCCTTGGTTTCAAGGTCTTTGGCCAAGACAGGTCTTTTGACCATGATATAGAGGAGCTGGGAGTGAAGCCCAGCTGGGCATGACTACGGAGTCCATTCTATTAAATCCTATGGCTCACCTAACTTTCATGACTCCAAACCACTCATAGGCACAGCCCAGGTCAGTCTGAGGGTGAGTTTCAAGGGGCAGCCACACAGGAGGAGAGATGCCTGCGCTTACCACTAAGTCAAGGGCAAGAGAGTTCCAACTGGCCAGCAGGAACCCCAGATTCCAGTTTCCCACAGGTTCAGCCTCTCTATGACCTTGAGCCGGAACCAGATATCTATAAAAAGAGGTGGGCTCTGATGACCCTTCACATGCCATGATTCTCCCTGTGCTCAGGGGAAATCCGGATTGTAAAGAGAATGTTTGCAGGTGCCAAGACCTTCTATATCTGAGCCCGGCAGGCAGGCCAAGAGGGAAGAATGTGTGAGTGAGCATTATTTTGCAAACAGGCAAATTCTTAGTGAATGTTTTCATCTTATGTTATTTGTTTTCTTACACATCATGACTGTGGGAACTTAGATAGTAAATACTTAGAAAAGAACGACCCCTTGTATGTTCATATCCCAAGTTCATGGGAGTAAGATGAGCCTGGCAGTCTTGAAGGTGGGAGGATGCTCTTCCCTTATGTGGCTAAGTGACAGGTTTTGTGTTGTCTTGTTTTGTGTCTCCTGAAGAAATGGGTTGAAAGAACCTTTTAATTTTTTTAAGAACTTTTAATTAAAGGTGTTTGGAACCAGGAAGAACTGAACTCAATATAAAAACCTGTCTTCACTGACAGTGGAATTGCATCTCTGCTGATCTTTTATTACCTTTTTTTTTTTTTAAAGAATGCTTTTATTTTTAGGGCAGCTATTTGGGGAAGTTTCCAGGATTTAGGAGCTAGATTTTGCATAAGAATCTGATTGAAGGACACTAGCATTATTAATGAAGTGAAAGGTTCAGGGTCAGTCATGGGCATTATAGGTGGAGTCTGGGGATGGGAAGTATGAATACTAAAGAGAAAGACCCAGGGAAATCATGGCCTGAGGGTCTGGGGACAGTCACACTGTGTCTTGTCACTCCCTTCTTTGATTCCCAAGCTTTTAGAACTCGGCCCCCTTAGCAGCATTTGCTAGGCCCAGGATTCAATACTGAGCTGTTCTGCCCCAAGTTGAAGGGATGGCACTTGGCCCTTGTCAGTGGGACATTCGAGGGAAGAGCCTCCTCCCTTCTCCAAGGTTGCCAAGCTCTGCAACGTCTCAATCCCACAAGCTTGGGACATGGAGCTGTTATAGCCTAATGGTACAAGGGGTCATTCTTTTCTAAGTATATATACTATTTAAGTTCCCATAATTGTGATGTGTCCGCAAACATTTGTCATCATAATGCGAAAATATTCACTAAGAATTTGCCCATTTACAAAAATAATGCTCCCTCCTACATTCTTCCCTCACTTAACAAGTGTCAGTCCAATCTGGCTCAGGTTAGTCTGGACGACTGTCAGATAGAACAAGTTCAGTGCAAACCAACGGCAAAGTTCATGAAGTTAAACAGCAACAACAACAAATGGACGAGAACTTCACATGCCAGGTTTTGACCAAGGAGATCAGCGGGAGCTGATCAGTTAACAAAGGAAAAGCAGTGAGGATGATGGTGAGATAGGTTTTCCAAAGGGGAATACTGAAGGCTTGAAAGAGATCCTTGGACAATGAATGAAGCTTTTAAATATTAAACAAGCCAAATCTCTTAATGAAGGTGCTTGTGAAGTAAAATGTGAAGAACGTGGTATCGTGTGAATAAATCATTTTGCTGGTATTAATAAAAATACCATACCAAAACTTGATTCTTTGTTCAACCTAAAAATCAGCATATAATTTATGTTTTGTAATCTGATTATAAATAACTTGTTTTCATAATTTTATTTGCATAATAAAATCTCAGGGATGCCCTTTAAATTAATTTGTTTTCATCCTTTCCTTTCCTATATGAAAAGTTTCACCAAAAACCTTTTTCGCTGTTTACTATGAAATTTTGATCTTCATTAAGCTGATTCACTTGAAGTGTTTTTGCTGATGCTCACTATCCTGTTGTGACGGGGCTCTGATGCTAATAGTCCTCCTTTAAGCCTATTTCCAGTTTCAGAGGGAGGCCACAGGGTCAATGGCGTGACGTCTCACGAGGCCTTAGACACAGCCTAGATGGTTCCACACTCAGGGTATTCAGGGCCTTGGTCAATTCCAAAGGACTCAGGGAAATGTATCCCTTCATGTGGAAGCCACACACCTTCCCCAGGTGCCCACTGCAGCCCACATGGGCTGTCAGCAAACCCTTTTGCCATCCTGAGAGCTGCAGCCTCAGCCTAGGGTGCCTCAGCCAGGCTAACCGAGGGCAGAGAGAGGGGCACTTACTTGGCCGGCAGGGCTCTGGGCTGCCTGTGGCTTTCCGGGGGGCTCCTCATCCTCAGGAATGTGGGGCATGGCAGCCTCCTGCTGGGAGTGGCCACGTGTGCCCGGAACCTCCGCTGTGTCAGCCCCCAAGATGCTCCAAGAGGCCTGGGCTCCGCAGGCTGGAGAGACGTCAAAAGGACAAGTCAAATCTGTTCTCATCCCTGTCCCAAGCTGGGTTTCGTTTCCAGGAGCCATAAGCCACAGAGAGAGCCTGCTTGAGTTTGCATCAACACCGGAGGTCAAACTAGGCCAGGAGAGGGCACTTGGAATTGCATTTCCTCTGGCTCTCTGGCTTTGTTTACAAAGTCAGAGGTGACTTTAGAGATTTTGCATCTAATTTGGTCTCTACAATAAACGTAGTTATTCCAGAAGGGAGAAAACTCCTTCAAACTCCTGAAAGCTGTAGCTAATGGACGCTACCCCATTGGAATCAGATTGGTATTCATTTACCATTAATTGAGCACCTACTGGGTGCTGAGCTTTGTCCGAGGAGCGTCACCAACATCGTCTAATTGAATCACCACAATGATTTCTGATGTAGGCATTAATGTCCCCATTTTATAGATGAGACAACTGCCCCAGAGAGTGGAAGCTACTTGCTCCAAATCATAAAAAGAACCAAACATTTGAACTCAGGTCTTCTGGACCTTGGGGCTGGGTTCTTTCTACTACACCACACAGCCTTTCTTTGCCATGTGGGAGGGAGCAAAGGATGCTGCTTCCTGGCTTCCTCCCCGGCGCCCTTCATGCTCTTCTGACCCTGCACACATATCCTCTCTCACTCTAGTACAGCCCTCATGGACCCTGCCAGCCCTGTTAAAATCTGGAGGTTCAGCCCAGGATGGATCCAGTGTGTTCTGTCCCCACCCCAAGAACCTCAAGTTGCTTCCCACCAACCAGGTTACACCTTACTCCTGGTGTAGCAACCTCCAGGCCTGGGGGGATAGACCCCAATTCGCTTGATCTCATCCATCTCCCACACTGATTGGCTCAGGAATAGATGATGACTCAGCCTAAACCAAGGAGCATATGGCAGTGTCCTGAGATGCAAAGGCTTTCTCTTGCTGGTGGAATGTGCAGATGTGAGATGGTACTACAGATACCATTTTGCCTCTATCAGGAAAGCCAGATGGGATAATACTGAGATACACAGAGGAGGGCACAGCCAAGAGGCCCACAGAGAAACAGAACCAGAGTCCTGATGGAGTGCTCCTGAAGCCTGAACTCTCTGTGGACTAGCCAGTTACAGAAACAATTGAGACTCTTGGTGTGGAAGAGTTTGCATCGGATTTTTCGTTACTTGTCATTGAAAGCATACTCACTGCTCTTTCCTGTTTCTTGTCAATCAAGAGGCCTAGGATGATGATCCTGCCCCCAGACCTGAGCCAGTAGGACTAGCTACTCTCTTTCCTCTTAGAGGAAGAGGCCAGCAATGCCATGTCTCTGTCTAGAAACCAGATAGGGTAGGATAGGATAGGATAGGATAGCAAGACAGAAGGAGCACAGGCTTTGGAATCAGATATCTGGATTTGAGTCCTCACTCTGCTGCTCACTGATTATGTGGCCTCAGAAAGTTGAGCCCAGTTTTCTTGACAGAGGAACTGAGATAAGAAGCCTCTTGTGCAGGGTGCTCCAAGGATGAAACATACGCAGAACAGAGCAGGTTCTCACAGAGCCCCCTGCATAGGGGTCTGCAGCCACGCTTCCTGGGATGTCATTCCTGCAGCCCAGGAAGTGTGGCTGGACCCTTCTAGGCTTCTTTCCACCCCTGAACTCCTTCCTTCCCCTAGTGGGGTGAGGGAAACCTTCAGAGATCTGTAGCAACCAACAACCAGCCTCGTTCTCCAACTTTTAGAGGTTCCTTTGAGGAATGAAAACCATGATGCAGATGCCATGGGCAAGGGATCTTTGGGACACATGGTTGGGGGAGAGTGTGTTGAAGGACACTGATGCTTATTGAATACTGTATTCCAGGCCCTGTACGAGGTGACACTGACTGCTAGAGGCTGTAAGAGGAAGACCTGGAAAGCCCTGCCACCTCCCATGATGGAATGCTCCTGAAGCCTGAACTCTCTGTGGACTAGCCAGTTACAGAAACAATTGAGACTCTCGGGTGTCCTTCCTGAGCCAGAGTGCTGCAGGGCAGGCCCAGATCTGGCATCAGTCACAGCTCTGACAGCCCCCAAGTCCTCACCAGCCCACAGACACACCTCTGGACTTTGGACTGGGCTCCCTGAGGAAAGGGAGATGTCTGATTGATTCTGGATACCCAAAAGATTTATTTAAGAATGCTTGTCGATGTATGTTTAAAGAACAAGACCTTTAGTTCCAGTATTAGACCAGGTGACCGCCATCTTGACTTTTGTCATTCCGTGAATACCTCCACTCTGCTCTGAAACAGTTGGGGTGACCCCTGCTGGTCACCTCAGGAAATCTCATGTCAAGCCGAACATGCGTGGAGTCTTTCATTCTTTCACCACACTCACTTTTCACCTACTCTCCCTGGCCTGTGCTAAGTGCTGTTGACACAAAGATGATAAAGGCATGGTCTTGACCCTCAAGGAGCCCAGAGTCCAGTGGTGGGAGGCAGCTGGAGTAAATACTGGAGTAATGGAGTAAATATTTTGAATGTGAGAAGTTGCAGGACTTCAGGAAAGGGTCCCTAACTATGAAAATTGGGATGACAGGGCATAGTTCTAGCAAAGATTGCCCACTGCAAATGGTATTTGAGCTTTGCCATGAATACAAATGCTGAATGAAATTTCTCCCAGCAGAATAGCTGGGGGCCTAGCAGGGAAGATAAGACAGGAAGGGGAGAAGCCAGACTAGACAGATTTTACCTGGTTCTTGGGAATGAGAGCTATGGGGCCAGGGTATGTTGTGTCTCCCATCCCAAATGCTTAGTACGTGAACAAACTGAGCACCAGGTTCACCCAAAGGTGGGCTCTGTGATTAACTTCTATCAGTATCATTTTTACTTGAAGTTCAGTGGCAATGACATAAAGTGGTGCTGGGTAAAGAATATAGTAACAGGGGTTAATTAAAAATAGCAAAAGAATATACACAAACCCCAATTCTACCAAAGAAGTTATCTGTGTCTCCCAGGAAACCTCATTAAACTATATGTGATATGTGTGCAGGTCTGGGCTATCTTAATAGGAGTATGGTTTCCAAGACATGGGAGGTGACTATTCCATTTTTTCCTTTATGTCTTAATTTACATGAAGTGTGTTGTCCTCTGAATGCTACAAAGGATTCAGGAAAAAGGAAACATGTTCAGAAAAGAGAAGCAGGACGCTAAGGGGACAAGAATTTGGGTTTAAAGAACTTGAGAACCTTAGCCTGGAGAAGAGAAAGTGCAAGGAAAAATAAAAATCTCTTCTTGGATGGTCAAAAGACATTCCTGTGGTTCTATTGTCCCCAAAGGATGGTGTATGACCCATGACTGAAAGGTCAGGTGAAGGCAAGGGAAAAAACTTCTAGTGCTTGGAACCATCTACAGATGAGACAGGCTGTTCTTTAAGGTAGTGAGTTCCCCTCTCCTGGAAAGCTCCAGCAAAGGCTGGAGCTAGTGTCATAGGATTCCTAACCACTTCAGGGGTCTTCTCTAACCCTGGGAGACACTGAAATCCTGGATGCTTCTCAGTTACAAGAAACAGCAAGCCTGATGATCCCACTCCAGGATTCTGGTATTCTCCATTCTGAAGTCTCAACAAAAATATCCCATTTTCTAAACCTCCACTTCTTTTCCTCCACCTCCCTCCCTTCCAGAAATATCTTAAATTGGTCCCTACGTCAGAAAGCATAGTAGAACAAATGAATTAAGTCAGACACCACAGATGTAGAATAAATGAATTAAGTCAGACAAACACAGATGTCAGCTGCTGCAGGACAGAGGCAGAGTGGATGCTGGCTGAGGTCCCACCCGTTTCAAGCTGGAACCCCGAGCCCCTCTGGGGAGCCCCAGCCGGCAGCCCGCCTGCCAGGCCCATTCCCACGCTGCTCCTGCCTTTTTTGCTTTCTCTCCCATCCATTATTATAAACTCGCTGCTTAAAATAGCAAGGTAAAAGCAGAGTCCATCCCCCAGGGTGACATCTGGGTTCCGCTGCGGCTCGTGGGCACGGGGACCTTGCATCCATCACAGAAAAGTTTAGAATACAATCTCCAGGAAGTGGTGATCTAGAGCACCAGCCCATAAAAGGAAAAAGTATTTAGTAATGTTTGGTCTTTGAGCAGCTCCTTCTTTAACCCATTTTCAGGGCCCTTCTTTGCTGCTTCTCCAGTCTGGTTAGTAAAGGGTTAGGGGGGTCAATGCCAAGAGCTAATCAGATCTCTTGACTCTGCTGCGTCTGCCTCCAGCCAGTGCTTAAGGAGCACCTGGCCCATTTTACAGGAAGGGAAATTAAGGTCCAGAGAGGGGAAACAACTTGACTGGGTCCAGTTAACCTTTGCACCTGGTACGACTTATCCAGGAGCCTCTGCTGGGATGTCTATCCAATTGTCCCTAACCATATTTAAATATTTTATGTGCCCTGCTCATGAAAGAAAGCAAACCGAAGTTATTTTGTTCATGCCTTCATTCATCAAATAACTTCTAGATGTCCTACTGAGTACAGGACACTATACTGTGAGCATTTCAAGTACTATCTCATATAACCCCCATACCTAGCTTTTATTATCATCACTTAATATATGAAGGAACCAGGGCTCAGAGAGGTTCGGCAAATTGCTCAAGGTCACACAGCTAGTAAGTGGCTGTTCAAGGATTGTCATCCAGGATAGCCTAACACCAAGACCCATCATCTTTCCCCTCTTCTGCTCTGCCTCCTCTACTAGGAGGTCTGCTAGGACATAGCACAAAAGCCTAGCGTGGAGGCCCCTGTGCCTTAGGGGAGAAGTGGAGTGTGTGACCCCAGGGAGGCTAAGGATGATGGCAGGGCAGGGAGGAGGAAGCAGGACCCACAGGCAGGTTGTTAGGCCAGGGATCTCGTGAGAGTGCACGGCCCCCACTGTGTGGTGGGGCACATTTGTTCCTTCATCCCTCCATTCCCGGTCTGCCAGCGCATCCATTCACACCCTCACTTCAGACTCTTCTGTTCACACAACTGTCCATTGGTTTGTCCATCCAACCATCTACCCAAGAAAGTCCCACACTTGT